GAGCTTGAGTAGAACACCAGGGGTACATTGCCATTTCCGGTCAAGGGCTGAAGGGCCACCCCGCCCCGTCGCGAAGTGTCTTCTGGCTGTCGTTGTGGCGACAGGGAGCAGGTTCTCCTGGTCCATCCGGAGGCCAGAAGAAGCATATATCATCACATTGTTCAGAAGACCTCCCTGACAGGGGAGGCCTTCTGACCCATGCAGTTGGCCTTGGATCAGCGCAGAAACCTTCAACGACGCAACAACATCCCTGATCACCACAGGTGATCCAATAATTGTCACACAGACTCCGGTTCCATGTTTTTTGTGTTCTTTAGAGATATTGAAGACTCCCTGAACGTAGATTGTAGACTTTGTGGCATGGTCTGAACATGTGCGCTCGCAAGTCATAGTAACAACAGCCTCGATACCGGGCGTTGCAGTCTCCATAGGCCGCGCGGCGTTGGCCCGTGGCACAGTCTTAATCTGAAAAGTGTGTGTGGGGGGGGGGGGCAGTTAACACTGCTGCCCCTCCCCCCCCACCTTCAAAAGTGGGGGAGGCATGGCCCCCCTGCCCCCCTCCCCCATGTTCCTACGCCCATGTATTCGCTATCCAGGCTAAAACCATGCGTAGCTGCACATGTCACGTGTCATTTGGGCGGCAGCATTAGAGTCTCGGGGTGAGCGGGGCAGAGTCCAACTAACTCTATCCAGGCCTGGAGACCTGGAGTCCGACTAACTCTGTCAGGGCCTGGAGACCTGGAGTCCCACTAACTCTGTCAGGGCCTGGAGACCTGGAGTCCAATTAACTCTATCTTATGTGTCATACCGGGGGTCTGAGCCCGAAGAAACGTTCCCATATTGTACCAGTGCTGAAGACATAAATAAAGAACAAAGACAATAGTACTGGTGAAGTCCCGCTGTACACAATTTGACGTCACAAATGCCATTTTATGCTGTCACTAGACGCGATTGCACTGTTCTGGTCGTTCCGACCTTACCTAGTTACGTTCCTTCTTTGTTTGCTTGCATGCATGTTGGCATCCCGCATGCTCACGATGAAAAACAACGATTCCAAGTAGATTCGATAGGCACGAACGTGAGCCTCGCCGCAGACTTCAGAGGGGGGCCGTTCAGGCGCCCACCGGAACACCGCCGCGCGGCTGAAGCGCGACAGATGTCAACCACCAGCGCGATAGGCCCCACAGTATTGTAATGCCGCGCCGCCAACGCTGGGCCGGCGCTGCAGCCGCGATGTCTGTCAGCGCCGGAAATGCCGGGAGTGGGCGGGCGGCCGGGGAGCTGCAGCCGAAGCTTCCCCTCTGGCAGCGGGGGCCTCGACGCCAGCAGCACGTTCAGCTGGCGCCGGACGGCCGGTGCATCCGACCGCTGCGTCACCGTTGTTCAAGAGCTTTGCTGCCCTCGGCACGTCCAGCGAACTGGGGCCGGTGGTCATGTCCGCCCACTGGTTGGCCGCAGGAACTACTTGGCCCCGCTATGGCGGCAGAGCATCGAGGCGTCTAGAGCCGCCACGTGCTGAGAGTTACCCGACATCCGTCGGGCCCACTCTCGTTTGCTAGTGGTTATCGTCAGGGCAAGCAGACATGGATTACCCGGTGTCGGCATGGGCGGACTGGTCATCTGACCTCAGGCGGGTGCGACAAAGGCCGACGCCGACAGACGCCGGGGGTCAGCTCTGGTACACGAAGGTCGCCCGAGCTCAGTGGCAGCTCAGTCGGAGGAGATCCAACGAGTATTCGATCGCGTACTCAAGTGCGTGCATTCATCGCTGGTTTGGTCGGGTCCGATGACGCATACGCATCGTAAGCGACCATGTGCTCCGAAAGAGCACACAAAAACAGGGCATCTCAAGTATCCGAGCCTGCGCCGGGCTTTGTCCGCCTGTCAACCTCCTCGTTCACGTCCGCATGGGCCGCCCGGTGCCGGGTCAAGAGCACTGGGACCGGCCGCGCCGGCACGAGCGGCACGACAGCTCGCGAGGAATGACGTAGAACGGGTGCTGCTGACATGCGCCGGAACCCGGTCGGATTAGCCGCCACTCGCGACGGGCGGCCCGGTCTCGGCGGCGAGCGGCCCCGGCCGGCCGTCGCGCGACGCGGTCAGCGGTCGGCTGGGCTCGGCGCCGCGGAGTCCAGGACTCGCCAGCCGTCCGCCACATCTGCATGCCGTGACAGCACGATAGAGCACCGAGGCTTCGCGGCCGCTCCATCCCGGACGGGAGTCGGCTGTCAGTTTGGGCCGAAATTTGATGGCTTGACCCTGGATGTTGGAAGGCGCGGATGGGGACGGCGACGGGCGGGACGTAATGGTAGCGCCGCCGGCCCGGGCCGTCCACTATCCATCAAGGCCATCGAACAGGCGCCGTGACACGTTCTTGATACAGGTACGCGCCGTGGCGGCCGCAACGGTCCAACGGAAAACGTGAGCGGCGGTTGGCTTTCCTCGCCCTGTTCACCGCTCAGGTGCCGGTCTGTGGGCACTTCTACGACTCTGTGGTAGTCACTCTTAGGACTCTGCCAGAGCTTATCGACAGAGCTGTCGGTCCCCACACGGTCGTGCTGATTAGAGGGGTCAAGCATATATGCGAAAGTCACGTGTGTTTTGGCACGGACCGGCTGCTGCGAACACCGCGCTGAGGGATGCCGGGCGACCATTGGAATTTAGGCTCAGGAATGGGGCTGACACACACAGGCATGTTCCATTTCATTCAAGAGGAGTCCATTCCATTTCATTCCGTTCAAATGCATGTAAAAACGCCCACGTTTCGAAAGAGAGACGAGTTCGTTAATCTTTACGAGGAGCTAAGACACCATAGACAAAGTCGGACATAAGCGAACATAAAACAAAAGTGTGAATTGGAAGAAACAAATGCCAATAATTTTACAATATTGATTCAACTTATTTGAAAAGGCATTACCACGTTCGAATTATTTGTGCAGCTTTTTAACACCGATTTTCTCCGCAAATGGTCATAAAATCGGGTCGAAAACTCAAATCATGGAACGCTTGTGTTTAGCCTTTGTTATTTCACAAGCTGAAGACATGAGCTTATTAAAGAGCCACGTTGTTTAGCTACCTTTTTATGCATGATCTATCCAAAGAACCGTTGAACATTTCGACTAGGATTCGCCAGATGGATATATCTACTAACCCAGAAACATTTAGACCTAACGCTCCTGCCCCCTTCATGTTTAGACCGGAGCTAATCACCAGAAAATATTACCCCTGGCCTCTGAGCGACGCCAGGGACCGCACAGCTCAGAACATTACCTCTCGCCTTAAAGCGACGCCAAGGAGCGCACAGCTCAGAACATCACCCCTCGCCTTGGAGCGACGCCAGAGCGTACAGCTCAGAACATTACTCCTCGCCTGGGAGCGACGCCAGGGAGCGTACAGCTCAGAACATTGCCCCTTGCCTCTGAGCGACGCCAGGGACCGCACAGCTTAGAATATTACACCTCGCCTCGAAGCGGCGCCAGGGAGCGCATAGCTCAGAACATTGCCCCTCGCCTCGAAGCGGCGCCAGGGAGCGCATAGCTCAGAACATTACACCTCGCCTCGAAGCGACGCCAAGGAGTGCACAGCTCAGAACATTGCCCCTCGCCTCGAAGCGGCGCCAGGGAGCGCATAGCTCAGAACATTGCCCCTCGCCTCGAAGCGACGCCAAGGAGCGCACAGCTCAGAACATTGCCCCTCGCCTTGGAGCGACGCCAGGGAGCGTACAGCTCAGAACATTGCCCCCTGCCTCTGAGCGACGCCAGGGAGCGCACAGCTCAGGATATTACACCTCGCCTCGAAGCGGCGCCAGGGAGCGCATAGCTCAGAACATCTCCCCTCGCCTCGAAGCGACGCCAAGGAGCGCACAGCTCAGAACATTGCCCCTCGCCTCGGAGTAGCGCCAGGGAACGCGTACAGCTCAGAAAATTCCCCCTCGCATTGGAGCGACTGCCAGGGAGCGCACAGCCCAGCGGAGCGCGCTACCGAGCCGCGACATTGCCATTTAGTTTTGCACTGGGCGTCGACAATCAGCCGCGACGGAGTCACTGCTAACAGGCCAACAAACAGACCACTGCCCACATTCAGGCCGGCGCCTGCCACTGGCAGCTGCGTTGCCACCGGCGCCGCAGCGTGCTCGGCCGGCCGGCGGTCGTCCGTGAGGCCTGTGACGTGACGCGCGCTCGCCGCGGCGTCCACACCACGCGCCGACCTCGCGGGTCCACCGCGCCATGGCGTTGGCCATCTGTGCCGACCCGTGCTCACATGCAGCCGAAAAAGAGACACGCAAGGCTGTCGAGTACCAGCTGCACATCAAAAGCGTTGCCACTTCCATTTACGTCGTTTTGCGTCCGACTTGCAGGCGCGGGCCGCTGCAGCGCGCAGGACGACAGGTGACCGCAGAACTAGCGCAGTATCAGCGCGCCGATCACCAAAATAAGGCCGCAGATCAAACAGCCGACGACGTAAACAAGCCCAGTGCATTGCCCGCTGCGGATGGGCGATCAGAGTCTGTCACGCCGTGGAATAAATACAGTTTGCAGCCCAGAGATTCCGAAGACCATTCTTGCGTATAATGTTAACCAACACTTTGTGCTTGTGTATGACAATAACCGAGTATGTGTTTTAGAGGCGCCGAGCTTTCGTGCCACAGGCGTCCGACCAGCATTCACTAATAAACGGAAGCCTCGAGCATGAGTCACAAAATGCGGCATTGCTAGCCAGGTGCGACACCAGGATTTAATGCCTGGAGGGAGGGAGGGGATCTATCTAACGATCTGGCCACACAACTGTTATTCTGATGGGCAAAACAAAGCGTCTGGGATTCAAGCCACTGGGGTAATGTGACCGACGCTGCGACACCGGGTGGGAGGGGGATGACAAGATCCGAGGAAGGGGACGGGGGCCCCGGCCCCTGTTGGTGATGTTCCTATCCGTGACCGCACCTGACGATCCGCCCTTATCCCCTCCCCCGTCTCCTGACGCCACTCGGCAGCAGTACTCACCCAGTGCCCCGGTCGACGCTCACTCCCCGCCACACGTGCGCCTGTACTGACCACAGCCAGGTGGGCACGCCGGCGCCACGCGAGCCGGAGCCGCCGGCGTCCCTCGGCCGGTCGCAGTTTCAGCCGCGCCCGCCAGGTGGCCGACCACAGTTCTAACCAAGCCCGCCAGGCGGCATTTCCAGATGAGTCACCGAACGGCAAGTGGTCCGCCAGGCAGCATAGGTAACATTCAAGCTTACATGGTCAGGGTCAGCGGAAATCTGTCAGGAAATCAGCGGAATGCATAATGCACCGAGACGGCCGAGCGAAAGCCAATTGCTGGAACGGAAACGGTGATCAAAACCTTCAGTCCTGTATTCGCCCTCCTGGCTGCATACGCAGGACCTGCCGGGGAGCTCGTGCCTGGAGCAACGCCCGCCACTAATATAATGCTGTACCGCCGGTTTGCTTAGCGCTGCAGCGTGGAAAGGCACGTCACGAGCCTTATAGACCGATCATGACTTTGTTTCATGGTAATTAATTTGACGTGTATTCGAATTGGACTGCTCAGTCATGGATGCAGTCAATCATTTCTAACGTGTGCAATTTAGTCTTACATCACGTAAATAGCCTTTCATACAAATCGATAACTCAGATTCGCCACCCCAAACACACATGAACACCGTGTTGAAGGTTCTTTATTGAGACGTCTTTCACATGACGAAATCATTAACGCTAGCGGCCAAGCGATTGTAGCGCCAACGAAATCCACACATGCCAATCAGACTGCGTTCCACCTCGCAGAGCAGCATCACGCAGTTCCAGCACTACACTGCAACAACGTCCGATGCATGAGCACATCGCTGAGCGCAGCATTCACATATCCATATTCGAATCCCCATTATGAGAAGCGGCCATACGCCGTCGATAACAGACGCAAATAGGACATGTGTTCACAACTAGCACATTCAACACATCATCGCGCCCGGTTACGTGGAATGGTCGGCGCCCTCTACTGAGTACTATTGGAGACATGTCCGGTTCGGAGAGCGGCGCAGGTCGTGTCCGCTACTCGGCCGTGGGCACGTGCAACGGCTGCCTGCGCGGGTCGTGTCCGCTACTCGGCCATGGGCACGTGCAGCAGCCGCCCGCGCGGGTCATGTCCACTACTCGGCCGTGGACACGTGCAGCGGCCGCCCGCGCGGGTCGTGTCTACTACTCGGCCGTGGGCACGTGCAGCGGCTGCCCGCGCGGGTCGTCGAACCGGTCCATGGTCGGCACGCTGGCCAGCATCGCCAGCGACCAGACGAGAATGACAAGCATGATCAGCGACAGGAACAGTCCCGACCAGATCGGGATGGTGAAGAACGGCGTGCAGTCCCAAGCGCGGCCGAATGAACTGGTCTCGTTCACCATGAACGCCTGCACCTGTGGGGCCGGACCGGAGCAGTGTCAACGTCCCGCGCGCGTGTATGTGGCCCGGCTGTGCGCCTGCCCAGCCAGGTCACCTGGCCAGTTGAGGACAGACACTCACTAGCCAGCGGCCGGGCCGGGCCGCCTGGCCAGATCAGGCCAGACGCTTACTGACCAGCGGCCGGGCCATCTGGCCAGGTCAGGCCAGCTACTTACTGACCAGCGGCCGGGCCACCTGGCAAGCCCCCGGCTGATTCCCGGCTGCTGGCCGGTGGGTGACGCCAGACCGCGTATCATCAAGCGGGGTCACCGACCACCGCGTGACCGCCGCTCGGCGACCGACAAGCGCCGGCCCAACCCGAGCGCGCGCCGCACACCACCCACCTGGAAGTCGGGCAACTCGAGCGAGCTCAGGCTGTTGGCGTCGCTGCTGTTGCTCTCTGCCGCCCACTTGCGGCTGGTGCAGTGGTAGGAGAAGCCGCTCGGTGCGTACACCTCGGCAAAGTCGAGCGTCACGTTCATGTCAGTGGCCGTCACGCCTCCGACCGAGCCCGAGTAGAGCAGCGTCACCGGCGTCAGCAGCCAGGCCGACACCTTGTCATCGGCACCTTCCCGCTTCGACATGTGGCCCAAGAACGTGTACCTGGCGCAGCGAAGCAGGGCCTCGTCACCGTCACCGCCACCAGCTCGTCAACGGAACTGGTGGACGGCGGCTCTCTCACACGTGCACTCTCCGTGCTCGGCTCTGGACAGTATGGAGAGCTTCACATTGCAGAACTTTCTGCTTCCTATAACTGACGAAAGAAAACAAGCATCCCACTGAATCTGCTAAATGATATCATCCCGCACATGCTTGACTGCACGACAGATTCCAGATATTTGGACAAAATGGGCCAAATCTCCCTCCCATCCCACTGTGATGGCCCAAATCTCCCTCCACACTCCACAGTGATGGCCCCATCTCTCTCCTTCATATTCCAGTGATGGCCCAAATTTTCCTCCACATCCCAGTGATGGCCCAAATCTCTCTCCACATCCCACAGCGATGGCCTAAAGCTCCCTCCAATCCCACAGTGAAGCCCAAATCTCCCTCCACATTCCACAGCGACGGCCTAAATCTCCCTCCTTCACATCCCACGGTGACGGGCCGAATCTCCCTCCACATCCCGCAGTGACGGCCCAAATCTCCCTCCACATCTCACAGGGACGGGTCAAATCTTCCTCCCTCACATCCGACACAGTGTACAAACACGCGCCGCTCCTTCTGGCCAACCTATTCTGGTCCGCCAGCGAAGCCCCAGCCGGTGCCGGCCTCTGACGTGCCTCTGATGCCACTCAGTCCGCAAGCGGGACCGGACGCCCCCCTCCCCCCCCCCCCCCTCCGCTCCGTGCAAAGCGCCGCCACTCACGTCAGTGTAACCTTGGACAGGTCGTAGTCGCTGCCGGCGCTGCTCCCGGTTACGCTCTCCCAGACGATGGTGGCCGTCTGGACGCCGGCGCCGTCGCACGAGCTCGAGTTGGACGTCACCAGGGAGGCGTTCAGCGACACCGTAATGCTGCCAGGATCGGGCGCGGGCATCAGCGCCAGCGGCTGAGCTCCGCACAGGGCCAGGGCGTGTTGGGTGTGCAACTACAGATGCCGGACACGACAAACACAACGCCTTGGAGGCGAGTGCGGCCGAGTATCTTATGACTCCATCTGCCGCTGGAGCAGGTGGCGGCGAGGGAGTGACGATTCCCGACGCAGGCGTGCATAAACTTTTTTATCTGTGAACACGTCTCACAGAGAAGCAACCCACAGCCACGCATGGTTCGGTGGTATGCCCTTGGATATCCACCTGTGCATTTGGACAGATGACACAATTATTCATTTCTTTACGTGGTGGCCCGATCAATTATAACCGCATGTAAGCGCTTTACACAATGAGACGTTACACCAGGTTTTAACGCCTAACGCGTGTAGGCCGGTGGCATTCAGTCTGAGCATATCACGCTGCCATTTGAGCTGTTCTACCCATGTCATGGCATAGTGGGATACAGAAAGACGGGTTGAACTGGAACCGGCAAAGGGTTTGATGAAAATCTGCGTAAGACCTCCGAACGCAGACTGTTGCAGCCAGACTGCTACAAACGCAAAACAGCTGCTTTGAACCGCTCTGGCTCTCGCCAGCAGATAACAGATCCCAGCGTCAGCTGCCACTCACGGATCTGTTGAATCCTTAGGGGTGAAGCGCATCACTGGGGGCGCCGAGGTGTAGATGTAGATACAGTTCATGTCGAAGAAATACTCCCTGCCCGGCTCGTCGGCGGCGGCCGCCTTCAGACTGCGCGTGGCCCGGCCCTCGGTCTCGCCGCCCTGGCGCGGCACCAATGTCGTCAGGCGCCGGCCGCCGGCCGCCGGATGGCAGCGGGCCCCTCGACGTGTACACACGCACGCACGCGCGCGCGCGCGCACGCACGCACACACACGCACGCACGCACGCACGCACGCACGCACGCACGCACGCACGCACGCACGCACACACACACACACACACACGCGCGCACACGGGCGCACCACGTGACAAGCAGCACACAGCCAGCTTTGAGCGAGCTTGCTCGTGGTCGCTGCTCGACGCTATAAAACACTTGGTAAGACCAAGGCCTGGCCATTCGCGGCAGAAATACGCCGGCCTCTCAGTTATCCCGCTAAAGGAAGATGGAATCCAAAGCATAATGGACATGCTATTTAACGTATCTCTCATTGTTTCCAGACATCCTGAGTACGCTATCCGCACACACACACACACACACACACACAAGACAGATAGGACTAGAGCCAGACCCGACTCAGGGGAGGGAGTTGCCTAGTAGCCTACTGACCATGGTGGTGTGCTTGCCAGTGAGCACGGCCGAGTACTTGCCAGTCAGGCTCTTCACCTTGGTCAGCACCTGCGAGACAGCGGCGTCTGGTGCCGCCAGAACACGCATGTCACTACACCCACGTCTGCACAAGACATCCAGGACTGAGGAGATGGCATGCCCCCTGCCCGAGCGGTGAGAGCCACCGTGATAATTTTGGCAAAGAGAATTGGAGACGCCTTAGACCGCATCATCACAACATCATTAGCACAATATGTATCACCTAATCTTCTCCTCTGAACCATGGAGAGGACTTGACATATTTTTTCAGCAAATGGGTTAAGAGGGTTACATACAGATGTCTTGCATGTCAACCTGCTGAGCTTCCCTGCCTCATAGCTCATAGCTTGATGAATATCAGACTGAGATGTCACCGACTTTACCAGTGAAAACAGCCAAAATACCAACTGCCTCCCCCCATTCCATACATTGACACATCACTGGACGGACAAGCAGCAGGCAGTTAGGCTGCTGCATGACGGCCTGGTGATCAGTGCAGAACACCGCCACCTGCCGGCAGTGACCCGCACTGCCAGTCACTGACCTGCCTGGCGGAGTGCCGTGGCACGATCAGCACCTGGCTTGTCATTCAGATACACCAGGAAGAGGGTCTTGCGTGCGGCAGGCGCCAGTTTCAATGCTGACAGGTTGTTCAGGTCGACAGTGACACGAGCGTAGGTAGACAGGAGTGCTGGCACCTGGGGCAAAGGGAGTGGGGCTGGTACCAGCCAGTTGTGTGCTTCCCAGCAGGCAAGCAATTCACTGGTGGTCAGTA